ATGGCGACAGAGGTCTCCCCCTCAGCTATGGCAGAGCTTACAGACCTGGGCAAATGTCTGATGAAACATGAGGTGGGTAGGAGCAGGTGATACCTTTACTCCTTGCTCAGCTGGGGAGCCTCCTACTTTTCTTGCTCTGTGATGCCATCAGGAGAGATTTTTCTGATACTCTTTTGTTATATAAGTTCCTGGTTCCTAAAGCCCCCAGGGGAAAAAAAAAAAAAAAAAAAAGAGGGAAAAGGTGCAATGCCATGGTGTCTCCCATACCAGCATAGGAAGAAGCTCTCAGAAAAACACATAGTAGGCACACTGATGCAGATCCCTGGTGTTTAGCCTCCCCTAGCCAGACCTGAGCAGCTTTGTCTCCATCATACACATACAGGTTTTCTCACATTTTAATTTTTTCTTTTTTTGAGATGGAGTCTCGCAATGTCGCCCAGGCTGTAGTGCAGTGGCACAACCTTCAGTCTCGGCTCACTGCAATTTCTGCCGCCTGGGTTCAAACAATTCTGCTGCCTCAGCCTCCCAAGTAGCTGGGACTATAGGTATGTGCCGCCATGCCGAGCTAATTTTTTTATTTTTAGTAAAGACGGCGTTTCACCGTGTTGGCCCGGATGGTTTTGATCTCCTGACCTCATGATCTGCCTGCTTCGGCCTCCCAGTGATTTTTTCTTTTGACTGTTGATAAACAAAAATAGAGGAAGTAAACTCACTTCGGCTTTTATTTTTCCTGCTTAGCTATATGAAACTCCAACTTCTAAGCCAGGCACGGTGGCACACACCTGTAGTCCCAGCTATTCAGGAGGCTGAGATGGGAGGATCACATGAGCCCAGGAGTTTGAGGCCAGCCTAGGCAACAAAACGAGGACTCCATCTTCAGAGGGGGGAGAAAAAAGAAAACACCAGCTCCTGATACATAAGAATAATCAAAAAATTGTGCTGCTTTTTCCATTGTAATCCTTCATCCTTTCCTGTTTAGGATGTTTGTACAGCGCTATTAATTACAGCCTTCAATTCCCTGGCCTGGAAGGATACTCTGTCCTGCCAGAGGACGACCACACAGCTCTGCTGGCCTCTCCTCAAACAAGTATGGTTTTCCACTCCTTTCCCCTGTCCCTCATGGAAGGTTTGGGTCATGCAGATTGACTAAATCTTTCAGAAGAATTGGGGTACTGAGGCCTTCAGAGAGGCCCCCTGTGGCCCTAAAGCACAGCTGTCTCCCCAGGTGCTGTCAGGGACACTGCTCGCAGATGCCGTTACGTGGCTTTTCACCAGTGTGCTGAAAGGCCTACAGATGCACGGGCAGCACGACGGGTGCATGGCTTCCCTGGTCCATCTGGCCTTCCAGATATATGAGGCGCTGGTGAGTGGGGAAAGCATGGGGGCAGGATGGCTGCAGCTTCATCACTCAGTATCTGCTCCTAGTCTCTTAGGCCTTATCATTGCTGGTGCTATCTCTTAGAAACGGGTGTGGTGGGAAATGGGGAAGGTAGCAGTGTCCAGACCTACATCCAGCAAGTTTATCCCTACTGATACCAGCGCCCCAGGTACCTGGAGATAAGAGCTGTAATGGAGCAAATCCCTGAAATACAGAAGGACTCACTGGACCAGTTTGACTGCAAGCTTTTAAACCCCTCCCTGCAGAAAGTGGCTGACAAGCGCCGAAAGGACCAATTCAAACGCCTCATTGCTGGTTGCATTGGGGTAGGTCATGCACCTTCATTAGTGCACCCAACCCCCTTCTTAAATCATGTGTATAGGAAAACCATAAAGCAGCTGTAGTTATTGACCATTATGATGAGATAATCTTTACTGCTTAGAGCCCAACATTAATTCTTTCTCATTTGTTTTCCACAGAAACCCTTGGGAGAGCAGTTCCGAAAAGAAGTTCACATTAAGAATCTTCCCTCACTTTTCAAAAAACCAAAGCCAGTGCTGGAGACGGAGGTGCTAGACAATGATGGGGGTGGCCTGGCCACCATCTTTGAACCTTGAATCAAGCTTTTGGGCATCCTTCCTCGGCCTTTATTGTCATCTCTTCTTTCCCTTTGTAGCTAATCTCTAGTCCCTTCTGGCACTGCCACCTCACTCCACCATGGTCAGCCTGGAGAGAGATCCAGGTCTGGAGCTGGAGAGAACAGGCCCTGTGCAGGGCCAGAAGTAATTATACTAAAGTACAAAGAAAGGGAGTTAGGGCTTATACCATTCTGTCTAAACGTCCCTGATAGTTCCCATTCTACTTGGAGTTTTGGCTTCTCCAAGAAAAGCTAGAGCAGAGCTGCCCTTCTCCTGCACGTCCTCCCACCCCTGTGCAGCCACACACCTGTACAGAATGGTAACTAGGGGTGCTGTGCCCAACACTGCAACTAGTGAGGCTTGCAGCAAGAGCATAGCCCTCAACTACTTGTGCCAGAGTTTCTCTTGGACCACTCCAAGTCCCACTGAGCCCTTCTACTGCTGGGCTGGCAGGGAATTTTCCCCACTCCCTAAGGGGCATGTCTGGATTAGGTGCTAAGTGCTGAAGAGAACTTGGCCAGTTCCTCAACTTTGCTTTGTGCAAGAATCTGTTCACCTGATGGGACCCATGGTACAGGCTACTGCTAAACTCGGCACAGTATCAAGTATAGTACCTCCACGGACCAGGACTGGGCAATCTTTAGTGCTAACATCCCCTTTAGAGCTCACACATCTTGCCCATCCATGAATGACCCCTCAGTCTGGCTTCCCTAGCCTCAGGGTCCACTCAGGCACAAGAGCCACAGTACCCTATATAGTGTCACATGACACCATTGTCATCCAAGGATAATCCAGACCAACTAGGCTACATCTGTGATAAGCAGCTAGCAAAGCCACTGGTCTTCTCCTAGGACTAAGTCTAGGTGCCTTCCACAATCTCATGGTCTTTCAGGTCCCTGGTTACTTTTCTCAAGGGCCATTTCCAAAAGAAAATATATGCCTTTGCATCACAACCTGTACTGTGAGTCCATTCTAGAGGTCACTGAAAGGCCCTGTAAGCAGAGAGGACACAGATATAGCACCTGGCCCTGAAGTTATTACTGGCCATAAGGCAGACTTAATCAATATAGAAACCACAGTGTGTGCCCATGTGCTTGGCACAAAAACAGACCTGTTGTCCATCCAGTGCATTGACAAGAGGGTTTCTATGAGAGCTGAAGTGGACTGAAGCTGTGGTTTCTGGCTGTTGCAGGCCACAGGCAGGGTCAGATTGGGAAAAGGCAAAGCTGGGGAAGCAGAAGTTGGAGTCGTGTGTTGCTCTCTCTGCTGCATAGACTTGCCCTTGTTCCCTCTTCCTGTGTGGTGCTCTGGGTTTCTGTTGATTGTGAAGGCGATCTCAGTGTTTCCCTCCAAACCTTATAGCTGCCTATTCCTGTCTGGTTGGGGCTGTGGAGGGTGTAGTTGTATTTATTGTGTTGTAATATTTTTAACATCCTGTGATGTCATGCTAGAAATTTTCTATTGTTTATAGAAACCTTTTGTAGAAACATTAACTCTAAAGCACATCTGCATGTCAGTAAAAATCTCAGTTTCCTACAGAAAGGGACCCATCTGCCTTTTTCAAACCAGTCACGTGCTCCAGTCACATGCTTACTTCCGCCGGGTGCGGTGGCTCAGGCCTGTAATCTCAGCACTTTGGGAGGCCGAAGCAGGTGGATCACGAGGTCAAGAGATCGAGACCATCCTGGCCAACATGGTGAAACCCCGTCTCTACTAAAAATACAAAAATTGGCCGGGTATTTGGCACGCACCTGTAGTCCCAGCTACTCGGGAGGCTGAGGCGGAAGAATCGCTTGAACCTGGGAGGTGGAGGCTGCAGTGAGCCGAGCCTGTGCCACTGCACTCCAACCTGGCCACAGAGCAAGACTCCGTATCCAAAAAAAAAAAACAAAAAAAACACATGCTTACTTCCTCATGAGCACCTTGCAAAGGGGACTAAACAGGAAAAAATGTGATCAATGAACCTGGTCTTTCAAGCTTTCTGAAATGGGATGCCAGTTAGAAAAGGATCTAAGGCCAGGCACGGTGGCTCACGCCTGTAATCCCAGCACTTTGGGAGGCCAAGGCAGGTGGATCACGAGGTCAAGAGATTGAGACCATCCTGGTCAACATGGTGAAACCCCATCTCTACTAAAAAATGCAAAAAATTAGCTGGGCATGGTGGCGCGTGCCTGTAATCCCAGCTACTCAGGAGGCTGAGGCAGGAGAATTGCCTGAACTCAGGAGGTGGAGGTTGCGGTGAGCTGAGATTGCACCATTGCACTCCAGCCTGGGTAACAAGAGCAAACTCCGTCTCAAAAAAAAAAAAAAAAAAAAGAAAAGGATCTATTCCTGACATAACCAGACTAGGCAGCTCATAACGTTCTCAGTGTGTTTTCATGTGTGGCTGCTGGGCCTGACCTAAGGGAATTGCTATTTTTTGTTGGAGCTGTCAATAGCAACATGAACGTCCCTGGTAATCCAGGAGATAGGTGAAGTGGCACATTCACTCTAGCTTGAATGTTTTCTAGGGGTTTGGCTGTGCTCCCAGAAACCACCTTAATTTGTCAATTCTCAGGAGGTGTTTTTTTGTTTTCAAGACTAGGTCTTACGCAGGCTGAAGTGCACATCCGATGCTCTTAATTGCTAAATGCCAAACCAGTTCTAAAGTGAGGCCCTCCTTTTTCGTGGTGGCTCACACCTGTAATCCTAACACTTTGGGAGGCCCGAAGGCGGGCAGATCACTTGAGGTCAGGAGTTTTGAGACCAGCCTGACCAACATGGTGAAACCCTGTTTCTACCAAAAAAAAAAAAAAAAAAAATTAGATGTAGCCAGGCGTGGTGGTGCACGCCTGTAATCCTAGCTACTTGGGAGGCTGAGGCAGGTGAATTGCTAGAACCCAGGAAACGGAGATTGCAGTGAGCCAAGATTGTGCCACTGCACTCCAGCCTTCGTGGCAGAGTAAGACTCTGTCTCAAAAAAAAAAAAAAGTAGTCTCAAAAAGTTTTTGTTTGGACATGAATTTATTTACATCTAAGGCCTTATAAAGGCCTAAAAGTCTCATTCTATGGCACATTTAACAAAATGTATTGATTAAAAATAAAGCTAGAATTGTCCCAGAAAACTCAGGATCCCTAGACGCACTGGGCTCTCTGTACAGCAGTCCTGTAGGGTGGGTCCGTCAGAACCCAAAGCTTCAGCTTGCCTCAGGAGCATCCAAGCTCAGTCCATCTGAACCGCATCTAGCTCATCCAAGAAGCGCCGGCACTTCCCCATCAGTACTTTGATGGCTTCACTCACCAGCACGTCTGGTGGCAACACCCCTGTTGACTCAACAGAGACTGGGGACCAAAGGGACACTTTAGCCCGGGCAGGGCTTGCCTGTAAGAAGCCCCTGTTATTCATAAACTTGACAATTAGACTGGAAGGAAGCTGCAGCACCAAAGAGCATTGCCCACCCATCTCACCAATTCATACTCACAGATATAATGATCTCGAACCCGGGCAAGCCTCACGGCCTTCTTTAGTTTCTCATTCCGGAAGATTTCTCTGCTGAAGGTATCCAGCCGGGGGTTGGCAACTCTGGCTACCTTTTTACCTAATGAGAACAAACCATGTTTTTTGATTCTTTTTTTCTAATTTGCCACTTGGTAGCAGCAAACCATGTTACACTTTGAGGAGCCCACAGTTTTTATTTCTGTCACCTTCAAAGATAATATACTTTGTGTCCTGACCTGAACAGCATCCCAAATACCATACCTTGGACTTCCTGCACCTCAATAACACCAGGTGAGAAGCACCTGCTCAACTCCTCAGCTGCCTCCCCTTCCACGGGCTCAAGCAGGGTGATGTCTGGCAGGAGCCTGTAACTGGCTGTTGCCACTGGTGAAAACTTGGCATGGTCTTTGCCTGGAGGGGAAAAAGGAAAATCTGCCTATAGGAAACCCTTCTTCATTCTTCCTAAGCTACTTACAGCAAAAAACATAACCGTGTTGGCTTTCTACCTACCATCTCGGCTGAGTTCCTTAGTCATTTGGCCCATTGCCCTTCCCAGGAAGGCCCACAGGGTTCTCACCAATGCCCTTGACACAGTGCATTAGCAGGTCAATTTCCTGGCCAGGCCGTAGCTGAGCGATGAGGATATCATCATGCACTGGTCGGATAGTGCCTTCTGGGAAGAGATCAGCCTGGTTCCCCAGGGGGATCCATGTCATATGCCTGGTATACACTGCAGGAAAAACGCATCAGAAGATCTCAGTCCCTAAAACTAGCAGCCACCCACAGGTGGGTCCTCTTCCTCACTCTACCACTACTTACCTTTGTGGTTCATGTAGAGTTCATTGGGGTCAGAGGAATCTTTAGCAGCATGGGGGTTCCGAGTACATCTGACTTGAAGACGAAACTGTAGAGTGTCTATCTCTGTGCCTTCTTCATCTCCTGCGCCAATGGAGGGAGCTCTTAAGAACTAGTAAATATCTGAGTGCCAGCACCATGCTGAATGCTTTACATGTTTCCCATTTAATTATCTTGGCAAACTTGGGAAGACAGGGCAAGTGTTCTGACAGATGAAAAACACTGATGTACTTACCCAATGTCACAGTCAACCAGGATTTAAACCCAGACAGTCCACTTCTTCCAAAATTTCATTTTCTCACCTTGGTTCCGATACTCAAAAAGACGGGGATCAGCATGAATGGGAATGAGCCCCAGACGGTGAGCAAGGATCTCATCCTGAACAATGGATGTGTTGTTGTACACCAGGACCTTCTCCACAGCCATAGTTGGCACCTGCCCAAGGAAAAAGAATCACTTATCAGCAAAAACCCAATAGACCCCCACAAACTCCAACCTCCAAAGGTAGGGACCTATCTCTCTTCCTAGAATGTTTAATGAGAAATTTACAGAGAATGAGAAGGTAAAATCCTTAGCCAGCAAAACTCCAGGAAAAATAAGAAGGGAAGGACAGCCTGAGACACTTAATTCTCCAAGTGACACTCCAAGTGTCAGTGCAGTTCCCAAAGCAAATCCAACCTTGTCACCATGCCTGCCAATACCTCAGCTAATAGAATTCGTCGAAAAGCATTGGCAATGGCTGCGTCAATTCCCACCATGTCAAACTCCAGTGAGTTTTCATCCATGTGTACCACATCCACACGGAAATTCTAGAGGGACAGGAAAAACATTAAGTGAAGCCTGCTCTCTTTGTAATAGCTCTTCATACCTCCCCCTCAGATGATTCTGAGTATTATCCACTCATCCAAAAACCACCCTTTGCCCAGATGTCCCTTATTAAATGTTCTTTCTCGCCCAGTGCTTGCTTTAGTTTCATGAAAAGTCTCAATTTTTGTCTTCCATTCATTAAAACCCTATCCAATATGGCTCCCAACCAAACCATCCACAGAAGCTATTCTACTAAAGAACAGAAATCCACCACACGGCTTAGTCATGCTGACACTAGACAGTCCTCTTACTAGACTTCTGTTATGCCTGGTATTGATTAAAAAATCCCAAGCATAATGGCTCATGCTTGTAATCCCAGCACTTTGGAAGGCCAAGGTGGATGGATCATGAGGTCAGGAGTTCGAGACTGGCATGGTGAAACCTCATCTTTACTAGAAATACAAAAAACTAGCCGGCCATGGTGGTGTGCACCTGTAATCCCAGCTACTCAGGAGGCTGAGGCAGGAGAGCTGCCTGAACCCAGGAGGCAGAGGTTGCAGTGAGCCGAGATCCTGCCACTGCATTCCAGCCTGGGCGACAGACTCCATCTCAAAAAAAAAAAAAAAAAAAAAGTCCCCTCGTTTTTTGAACTATTCTCCTGGTTTCTGAGCTCCATTCTTCCTTCTCTGATGATCAACAACCTCCACCCATCTCTAAATCTACCAGGTTCTTGTCTCTCTCCCAGGTGACCTTAACCAAACTAACGGTTTTAGCAACTATCTGTGCTGACAACTCCCAAAATTTTATCTCCCTTCTGATCTCATTTCAAACATGCAATCTTCTAGCCTGCTAGATTTCTCCGTATGCAGGAAACAATGCATCATCATTCCTGTTCCCCCAGAACCATTTCTTCTCTCAGTAAATGACACCACAATGCATCAAAGCAGTTCGCAAGCCAAGAAGTCATTTTATGCTACCTCAACAGCCTTTACCAAAGCAATCACAAATTTACCTTCTATTCTTCCTTTGCTCTATATCTACCACCAGTCTTAGTTCATACCTTCAACCTCAGCTTCCCTTAGAACAGATCTGCCTGCTCCATATGATCCTCTTCAAACTCATTCCCTCCCAGCTATCAAGGTTGCAAATCTAATCATGTCTGCTTAACTATTCAAGCTCCCTAACATCAACAGTGCCCAAGACACACTTCAATCTTGCCTACCACTAGTGCCAGAACTGCTTGGACATTCCCGGAGCACACTTCACACCATAATTTGTTTGATGAAAAAGCATTAACCTTTTTCATTGTTCATACTTTATTCCTTGTATCAACAGGTTAAAAAAAGTAAAATTTTCCCAAGCATAGATTTATAGATCATGTTTATAAGCTGCACACAAAGTTCAGTTGCATAAACAGTAACATTCAGTGATCTACTTAAATGCAATTTTAATCCTTATTTTAAGCTAAGTGAAACAATAATAGACTAAATACACACAAAACCTGTATATCCTCAACTTCACTGATTTGAAACTCAAAGCCTTCGTAATTTAACTCGTTATTTACTTACGGTTCAAAGCTCAATTCAGATGTTCCCTCCTCAAGAAATGTTAAGTACCTCTGGGCCCCTCTTCCTGGTCTCAGCATAATGCTCCCCAAGCCAATCCTGCCATCTTCATAGCTATCAACCACCTTTACCATATTACACTAGATTCACTTGTTTATACGCACCATTCCTCAACAAGACTGAACATCTTGTTTGCAGAACTGGGTAGAAACGGTGTCTAACTTGTCCTGTAAACGGAGCGTCTAACACAATGCTCAACAACCTTACAAACGGAGCGACCCCCAAGAGCAGTTTCTGAGACAGACACAGAAGGTCTGACCCTCATAACCCTCCCCGGACAACTCCTGCCCCACTCACCTTCTCGAAGCGTTCCTGGTCCCAGGCATCATCATAACCGGAATAGTTACCGGGAAAGTCAGTGGTATGGACCTAGAGCAAAGAGATGAGTTTGTCCACGAAGGGAGAGTGAGCCAATCCCAAGACCCATCCCTGTTCCGCTCTCGTTCCTCTCGCCTGAGCTCAAGGCCACAAGTCTTACATTGCGAACCCCAAACTCCCCTAGAACCACGCGGCTCCGCATTTCTTCCACTGCCTGAGCAGCCGCCATGTTCAATCTCTCCGGAAGACTAGAGGCTCTAGACTGCGCGTGTGTTCTAGCAGCACAGCCCGATCTCCGTGGCAACGCACCGCCTCCTGGAATCTTAAATATCGCGAGACTTTCCTCAGCCTCCATCCACGTCCCCAACTTCCGGAAGTTGGTTTGTCCAAACATCCGGGTTTCTCCTTTTTGTGTTCCGGCTGGTCCCACCTCTCCTCGACCCGGGACCTCTCCCTTCCTGGGACCCGCATCTCGTACACTCCTCCGCGCGCGGGGCTAGCGCGGGATTCAGCGACGGGAGCCCTCAAGGGACATGGCAACTACAGCGGCGCCGACGGGCGGCGCCCGAAACGGAGCTGGCCCGGAATGGGGAGGGTTCGAAGAAAACATCCAGGTAATGGCCCCAAGGCACCAGATGCCAGCAACCTGAGGGCCAGCGATGTCCGGAAGTGTGTTGGGGATTCTCCCTCGGGGCCTGGAAGTTCGCTCCATTTGCAAAACTGCCTTCTTTGGGTCTTGCACACAAAAGTCAGTGGGGTTAACATTGACCTGAAAGGGCCAGACTAGTCTACTACTCCATCCTGAGGATCTCGGGTCTCAGGGCCCGCCCGAGGCGTTAGGAAGAAAGTATTCTTGGAAGAAGTTAGTAGGTTGGTCGGGGTCAGGCATAGAGTGGGGTTGGGTGGGATTCACTGGCACTCGCTGAAAACATACTGTGTTCATAGTTTTGTTTGGGGCTTAGGAAAGAAAGAAGTGAATACTTTTTCAACCTTTTAGTCTTTGATAGGTAAGGTAGGAGAAAGACATGAATGGAAGACTAGTAGGTTTCCCAGGCTAGAAAAGATAGCCAAAGCTATAAATCAAGCGTTCTGAGAGCAAATGAGGGGGAATGGAGTGGCATGATCTGTAGTGATTCCAAGCCGTATCCTCAGCAGTGGAAGAACAAAGCCCTAAGCCCTGGGATGAGCAGAGGACTTAATGGATGGAACAGAAAAGTCCTGCACTCTAGGAGCCATTGTCTTAACAGGGCGGAGGCTCAGCTGTGATTGACATGGAGAACATGGATGATACCTCAGGCTCTAGCTTCGAGGATATGGGTGAACTGCATCAGCGCCTGCGCGAGGAGGAAGTAGACGCTGATGCGGCTGCTGCTGAAGAAGAGGATGGAGAGTTCCTGGGCATGAAGGGCTTTAAGGGACAGCTGAGCCGGCAGGTGGCTGATCAGGTAAGCAAGATGGAATCCCCTGCAGGTGGAAAAGTAAACCTAGGTATGTCCCATGTCCTGGAGTCAGTATTGGTGATGTTCGCCCCAGGTTGTCCTGGTAGAAATCAAATGGGAAGTAGGCAACAGGGTCTAATGCCAAGAGTTCCACAATCCCTATGCCCATCTTCCTTACTTCAGATGTGGCAGGCTGGGAAGAGACAAGCCTCCAGGGCCTTCAGCTTGTATGCCAACATCGACATCCTGAGACCCTACTTTGATGTGGAGCCTGCCCAGGTGCGAAGCAGGTGAGAAGCCTTCTCTTGAAGAAGCTTCCCTCCGAACACCTACTCTTTCATGCACTCTACAATCAGATTTCAAGCCCTGTGCTCTAGTGGGCTCTCCCTCTTTGTGACCTTATCACCTCTCATCACTGCACCTGTCACAGAACACAAATAATCGTAACACACCACCTTCCTCTTTTCCATCTAGCCGACTGCTCATCTTCCCTCAAAACCTACCTCAGATGTCACTTCCCCTGTTCCACATTCCTCAATCCCATGCCCAGTTTGTCCTCTCCTGGCGTTCCTATAGAACTCTGCACTTGCCTCCAACAGACAGCACTTCAGCACTGCTATCCTTTCTTATTCCTGGAATTTTCCCCCCAGAGCAGGGTCTATCTTGTGTATCTTTTTATTCCCAGCACCAGAACAGTTTCTGAACCAGAATATCAGGGCATAGTTTTTGAGCGACTTTTCAAGAACTAGATTGAATCCTGGCTTGTTTGTGTTGTTGTTATTCATCCTTTAATCAGTGCTAAGCAAATGCCCAGGACCACTCAGCAAGTATTTATTAAGCATTTGCTCTGTGGCAGACCCTATGCTGATTGTATCTGGTTCAGTGGTGAAAATGGATGGCAGTCTTGCTCTTTTTTTTTTTTTTGAGACGGAGTTTCGCTCTTGTTGCCCAGGCTGGAGTGCAATGGCGCGATCTCGGCTCACCGCAACCTCCGCCTCCTGGGTTCAGGCAATTCTCCTGCCTCAGCCTCCTGAGTAGCTGGGATTACAGGCACGTGCCACCATGCTCAGCTAATTTTTTATATTTTTAGTGGAGACGGGGTTTCACCATGTTGACCAGGATGGTCTCGATCTCTTGACCTCGTGATCCGCCCACCTCGGCCTCCCAAAGTGCTGGGATTACAGGCTTGAGCCACCGCGCCCAGCCTTGCAGTCTTGCTCTTGAGTGCAGTTACAGTACAGTCCTCATGCTATGATGGGGCACACGAGAGCGATATGTGAGCCATAGCAGGTTGGTGGGTGGGACAGGACAGGTTTCCCAAAGGAAGTAAAATCTAGCTAAAATCCAAGGTATGATTAGGAGCTAGCCACTTGGCGGGGATGGGGCGGGGGAATGGTGACTGAATTTTCTTACCACTTCACATATGTTTTTCAAGAAAATGCTCGACAGTGCCTGGAGGCACTCTTACTGTTCCCTCAGTAACACCTTTCCATCTAGCTGACTAGACCTTTCCCAGGGCTTCCCCATTACAGCCTTGAATTCTGTGTACTCTGCCGAGGTCTGCCTGTCTTTTCAAGGGGAGACGGGGAGACAGATACATAGTCAGGCCCTCTCTGAAGGCCCAGCAGGGCTGAGTTCTCCACATAGCTGCTATTTCCGTCAGCTAAGTTTCAGAGGGTTAACCTTCCTGGAAGTAATTTTAGGGGCAAGGAAATGATTTCCTCATTCCCTGTATATCTTTACTACCCTGTTCTCCCCTATCATCCAGCATGTCCTCTAGGCCAGGCCCCAATCCCTGGAGTTAGAGATGAGTAACATTCAGGCCTCGCCCTCCAGAACCTCATGGCCTAGTGCTGCCTTTGCTTTCATCTCTCCTCTCCTCTCTCAGGCTCCTGGAGTCCATGATCCCTATCAAGATGGTCAACTTCCCCCAGGTGAATAGAGGGTGGCATGTCTGGAGAGCCAGGGGAAGCACCAGGGCAGAGGGTGGGACCACCAGGCAAAGCCTGGGAAGGTATAAACAGACAAGCCATTGTACCCTCCAGCCTGAATGAGTTGGTATATTGACAGAAAATTGCAGGTGAACTATATGGACCTCTCATGCTGGTCTTCACACTGGTTGCCATCCTACTCCACGGAATGAAGACATCTGACACTATTATCGTAAGCAGGACAGAGGACTTTGGGTGGCGGGGGGGGGGGTGGCTGAAGTAGGTTGAAAGCTGCCTGAGGACATGATGGTGATGTGAGATAGGAACAGCCCCTGTGGAAGGCCCTAGGTGAGGCTGAGCTCAGAAGCCTCCTAGGACTAAGTAGAGCCTTCACCCCACAGCGGGAGGGCACCCTGATGGGCACAGCCATTGGCACCTGCTTCGGCTACTGGCTGGGCGTCTCATCCTTCATTTACTTCCTCGCCTACCTGTGCAACGCCCAGATCACCATGCTACAGATGCTGGCACTGCTGGTAAGGAGCCTGGCATGGTGGTAGGCAAGGGTGATGTTAAAAAGAGTAGCCAGGCCTTGGTCTGCATCTGTCCTGGGGCTCCAGAGCCTTGAATGGGTGGAGTGGGCCAATGGACCGTCTGTTTCCCAGGCTCCCCATGAGGGGCCAGAAACCAGCCCAACCTGAGTGATTTTCCTCTCAACCATCCTCCTTCCCAGGGCTATGGCCTCTTCGGGCACTGCATTGTCCTGTTCATCACCTACAACATCCACCTCCATGCCCTCTTCTACCTCTTCTGGCTGTTGGTGGGTGGGCTGTCCACAATGCGCATGGTAAGCTGGGCAAGAGGCTGCCAGGGGTGGGCTGTCCTCCCAGGGAGTTGGGGAAGACAGCCTGGAGCGGTCCATCTCACAAAGAGCGCTAAATGGGAGGGAAGGGCTCAAAGAGGGTTCTGCCCTGGGTGGGGTTGTCTTCTACCCACTCCTCACTTTGGAGCCAGGCCCTTTGAGCTATATTCTCATGTCCCTAGGTAGCAGTGTTGGTGTCTCGGACCGTGGGCCCCACACAGCGGCTGCTCCTCTGTGGCACCCTGGCTGCCCTACACATGCTCTTCCTGCTCTATCTGCATTTTGCCTACCACAAAGTGGTAGAGGGTAAGTGGCAGGAAGACCTGGGTGGGGGAGAATGGGAAAGCAGCTGTCAGGGGCAAAAGGCAGGATATGATGTCTAGTGGCCTGGCCCCATCTGACCCTCACTCACCTTCCATCTTCCTTTCAGGGATCCTGGACACACTGGAGGGCCCCAACATCCCGCCCATTCAGAGGGTCCCCAGAGACATCCCTGCCATGCTCCCTGCTGCTCGGCTTCCCACCACCATGCTCAATGCGACAGCCAAGGCTATTGCTGTGACCCTGCAGTCACACTGACCCCACCTGAAATTCTTGGCCAGTCCTCTCTACCACAGCTGCAGAGAGGAGGAAGACTAAAGGACAGTCCTGATGTCTCTCAGATGGGGTCTGCAGCTGACACTGAGCTGTAGCTGCTTAAGTACCTCCTTGATGCCTGTTGGCACCTCTGAAGGGCACAAGGTCAGGAACTCCTAGCCAGGACTGCAAGGCTCTGCAGCCGGTGCAGAAAGTGGGTCAGCTCCTCTGAGACCCCCTCACCACCTACCCCTTCCTTCCTCTTTATCTCTCCCACATTGTCTTGCTAAATATAGACTCGGTAATTAAAATGCTGATTGAAGTCTGGAACTGCAGCACTGATCAGTGGTCCTCCCTGTTACCCTACTTCCTGTATACTTTCCTGCTCTGTCTGCCATGGTAATGTTACACGTTCCCTTCATATCCTCAACCAGCAGGATAAAGGTGGGACAGGCCAGACTACAGAGAAGGCAGTGATAGAATATGGAACCTGCCCCTGAGGGCAG